CGGTCGTGGCAGTACGGACCTCTCTGCGCTCGGTCCGCACTGCCACGACCTCGGGCCAATATTCCCCAGTAAGACCCTCGCGCTCGTTTATTAAGCAATTAGGCATTTCCAATACTCTTGTAAGAGTTATAATATATAAGAGTTATAATATATAATATAATATAATAGTTATAATATAAGAGTTATAAGATTGAATACAATACAATACATTTGAGCAAGGCTTTTTTCGGAATCTAGTAAATATTACGACAACTTTGAGGTGTCAGCCCATCCTCGAGTAGTGGCATTAATATACGTTGGCCATGGATTGCTCGCCACCCCGTAAGAAGAAGGTAGTGATAACTAATAATGAGAAATTACCCATGTTAAGAAACATGACCAAAATGCTTGCATGGTACTGTCTTGGGTCCCCTTTCTAGGCATGCATTATGTCTCCACCACATGTTACTGTGTGACACAAGTCCCCATTAGGATGGCTAGTGATGAGGCTTCAGCGCCTACAGTTTACGGCAGCGAGCTTTGTTACGGAACACTATATTAGGGATATAAATGATATCTTAAGAATAGGCTAGCTGGCCGGAATGCAAACAACCCTCGCGGGACTTGTAGTAAATCTCGTTATCGCGGTGAGACTTAGTTCATGATAAGTTATAACGAAAAAATTAGGTAGTATGCATGAAATTTAGCTTTCATGTAAAAACTTGAACGAGGCTAATTATCACAAATGATCATAGGGCAATGGTCTACTGCCTGACTGAGGCCACAGAGACCCGGAGTTTGGTCAATTATGCAACACACGTTACGCATTAGGTGACTACTAATGAAATTGTTTTAAAGATTCTCCGATCTTTCAGCAAGCATGAGCAGTTCAAAGTAAATAGCTATAGCTTTAAGTTATTCCAAGCGTTAACGTTTTACATTGAGAATATTTCTACACCTGTACTTTAAACTTTGTATTTTGAGGAGTCGAAAAACTTTTTTTGTTGCATCAAAATTTTGAGAACTTATTTGATGAACAGGAATGTTTTGCGTGTCTTAGTCATTATACTCGTTTTACTATCGTATCAATTATAAGTGATTTATTTGCTTTATTGTTTTTGACAATGGTTAGCTGTGCTGCTCCCTGCTCGATAGGCTATGAATGAAATATCGGATGGCTCCCAACTATTCGTAAGATGATAATGCTAATCCTTTGCGCTTAACAGATTGTGATTTAAAAAATATTAGTAACTATTGAATTCTTAATTTTCATTGAAGACAAATATGACGATGTACAGCAATAAAATTCCAGTTGCATTTCTTTCTTACATTTACCCTTGTTATCTAAGGAAGGCTCTTGGGCGGTAAACCTCAGACGTCAAGGAGGGCCATGGGCCTGAAAAAATGATTGAATGTAAATCAAATCAACCAATAAAAATGCCCTGATCACCTTCGCGTTTTTTGCTTTCAAAACATGAGCCATCAATATCAAAATGGCTTTGTTGATTGTTATCCAAGGCAACACCAAATATTAGTCCATTAAACGCTTTCATCTAGACCACATGCACAAAAATTTTGCACAAAAACCCAAATTTTACCTAGTGAGAGATTCAATTTTTCTGAAAATAATGACATCTTTGACAAGTATTCTAGCTTTTCGTGCCAATAGACAATCTCTCACAACCTCCATATATTTTAGTCCAGCAATGTTGCATGCTTCTGTAGACAATCAATGGGTTGATTGCCCTGGATTTACATTAATTAATGACATATTTATAATTGGGGTAACAATCCTTGCAATGACAGAGCTTTCCACTGTCCTCTGGAGGTAACGATGTATTCCTTACAGAAAATTTCGCTTTCTGCGAAAGTTTTTACATTGTTTGGATTGCTTTTTGTTGTCTCGGCAAACGGAGAAGGTATGTTCTTAAATATAAAGTAAGGCTAATTTGGTAATGTTAAGATGATAAAATCATCATAAAATTCCTTTAACAAATCTTTTTTTCTCCTAACAAGTAGTATCAAGAATTAGTTAGAGCGAAGAAAGTATTAATAGCCCGTTAGCTATAACTGTATTTCCATGATTACTTATCTTGCATTGTATCGTCGTCTCTTATCTATCCTCATCAAAGAAAAGTACTGATTTGTCCAAACTGAGAAAAGAGCTTGAATCGTCTTTGCGCAAATGTCAATTCTCGTGAGAGAAATTAGTGGGAAAACTGAAGTCTTCTGGTGAGATTTGCAGTGCTGATATTTTGTTTAGAACTATCAGTCATTTAAGATGAGTTATTGGTGATAGTAAATCAGAAACTCTTACCACAATTTTTCAATTGCAATAGTCAAGGTTCCGAAATTTCACGTCGTCCAATTTGAAAGATACAAAATAAAGGATGGATAGATGATGTAAAATTATTTTCGTTATAAAAATGGAGAAATAAAATAAATACTGGTTTCCCCACTCAAAGCTTGACAACTTCTCTTCAAAGCATTATTTCGGTTAAAATGTAATAGTTCGGATTAAAGATTGGCAATAAGATTGTATCAGTTATCACTCAAAACACGCACTCAAAGTCTAAAAGCAGTGTTTTTCACGATGAAGCCCAATTATACCTTTTATTAGCCTGAAATTTTCTTATTCGAGAAAAAAGAAAAAGGAAGAAAGAAGAACTAGACTCTAAAACTGCTTGTTAGACTTGACTCAGCAGTTTTAGTGTCAAAGTAGCTTCTATCTGCTGTCCCACTGTTAAAAGATAAGACCTTTAATTGCATGGCATAATAGTTCAAAAGCTTACTCTTTTATAAAACATATTAGGCCTAGTGAGATTTACTGTTTTATGCATTTAGAAAAAAAATGAGACCTTTTGCCTTAATTGAAATTCTGAAACGATGGGTGATTGTGCAACAGTTTTAATTGAGACTTGGAAAAAATCGCTTAATGTTTCGCGACCTTCGACCTTATATTTATTGTAAGGGATATTGTAACATTTTCTGCGCCATTTAAAATTTTTGAAAAGTTTATATATCAAATAATAATAATTTAGTAAGTGTTCTTCCGAAATACTTGTAGAATCCATGTATGCCTTTTTTGTTTAGTGAAAAATTGAAAAGCTCCTTGTATGGTTGAAATCATTTGAATTCAAAACAACTCGACATAATCTTTACTTTTTGTAGTGAATCGAGTAGAAATTGAATGCGAGTCATGTAGAACAATGAAATATCGTTTATAAGGACCCTCTACTGAGTATAAACAAACTATTTTACTCCAATTTCCGAGCAAATACGAGAAACAGCAAACACTCAACTTAAAAAGCAAAAAAAAAAACAAAACAAAATAGGAAAAGTCAACTTTTTACGTCTAGAATTAAGAATCTAAGTATGTGGACATCAAATTATTGCCACAGGGCAAACTATTTCATCGCTTGAAATCGTGACATTGCTGTGTATGAGTTCATCGATATCAGTTACTTCTCGCATCATTAGCCGCTCGTGTTACTAAAACCGAGTCGACCGAGTCACACGCGACGAGAGCAAAGAAAAGAAACGATATGTGGGGGCTTTTTATAACCATTAAGGATTAACTGACAGCTAAAGCTTCCCTAACATTTTCAAAATTGAGTCGATGAAAAGTTGTTGAAAAACCATAGACAGTAATTAATAGCCGGTAGAAAAACTAACACATAATTTGAGTCGCTTTTCTACAAATTACCTTAAACGCGTGGACAACCACTAGATATTCCTTAAATATCATAATAAAACTTTAAGTGTTATCGTTTGTTTCACGAGGTATTTAATCCTAATATCAACACACGTTAGTTGCACGCTACTCTTAAGAGCATCATGGATTATTAATATGACTTCCATAATATGTCGTCGCTTGACAAGTCGCCACCAAGTCGTCTAAAGAAGACTTGCATTATGCAGTCGAAATGTCGCAACCTCAACGGAAGTGACTGCGTAAAGCAAACGAAAATAATTCATAAGAAGTCCGGTATTCACGTAGATAACAAACCGCAAACTCTTTTTTAGCAACAGTTCATGACAAGTATTACTCGTGAGCCAATCGCGTGTGGGATATCAGTGTACACGATAAAGGTAATCTTTCGATATTGTAGCCGTGTGATTGACGTCAAAGCAATATATAAGCTTTGTGGGATGTCATAGTCCTTAGCTATAATGGTCCACGAAAAAATGAAAGGGGGTAAGCAATTGGTACCTACAATGACCGAGGAGAGATGTTCCCAATAGTGAGCTCTGGTAAAATTACAGCTGCAGTTTCAAATCCATTTCCGACACTTTTAGAATTGATAAATAAATGAATAAAGAAGTTTTGAAAAACAATGCAATTTCGTATTCAAGTCTATGTGTTTTAAGAGAGGTTTGAAAATATTTCTTGGGTTTTGCATTGATGATCGATCTAGTGATAATAATGATAACTCGAGAATTTCCATGGCGCTATAGACTTTACAGTGATTCACCTATAAAACTACTCTTAGTATACCACGTAAAATTTAAATGAGACTTACAATAAAATAAAACAAATCAGGTTAAATATATTTATAAAAACTTAAGTAAAATAAAAATTCTGGTCTAAAACGGTAAAGAAAAACCTGACCAAAAAGGCAGGTCTCAAGATTGCGTTTAAAAATTGTCAATGATGGGATGGAACGCAATCCAGGGGGCGAACTATTCCACAAACATGGTGCAGCATGAAAGGATCTAGTACCAAGTGTAAAAAGCATTTTCTCTTTAGGCGGCTCCAGTAACAAGGTGCTATTAGATCTAAGATCGGCCTAACACTAATTTAACCACTAATATACAGTGGCGCCAATCTACAAAGATAAGTGTCGAGCACTTAAAGTGAGTGTGATCCATTGTTTATTTTGTCGAGTCACGCCAGTTTAGTCGCTTTCCGCTCTGCTAGCGAACATTGCATATAGCCGAGCTGAAGTGTTAAAATGTAGGTGAACCTTGTCAGCCTAAAATCTCTCTTCTTAAGTAAGAATGCGCGACCAGTGAGAGAAATCCTATTCATGAACTTATGAATACATACGATTTGCACTTTAGTACACTACATAAAATGTTTTCTTTGTTTCCTTTGTCCAAGAGCCATTTTACTTAATCCGTGCAAACTTCCCGGCAAATCATTGACGATTTTAAATAAACAAGGGTTGCCCCTCTATGTGATTGAAATAAACTTTATTTGATTGACTCTTGGGTTGGGCTAGTTTGGAGGGATATGCACTCCACATTAAGGGAAAAAGAAAGGTTATGACGAATGAGTCAGTTAAACAGCCTTTGTAATATAAACAATATGTTGTCTATGCATTGTGGGTTAATGATGCTTGAAAAACCGCTCATCTCTATCTAACATTAGATGTAATTAAATGCTTAAGACTGAAACACTTACCCTGGTCTTCATGTTAACTTTATGGTGACTATTTAACTATGAAAGATGATGAGCGAAGGTAACACATTCGACATTACTACGCTAGTAGTATGTATGCAGGAAGTTTGTCATCACGGACCTACTTAAACGGCTTCGGCTGCCACAAGTCTCCTATAGCTCATTAGTAGAGCATCCGCAGTACTAATTGGAGGGTCGTAGGTTCCAGTCCCACTACGAGCATTCGAGGTTCTTTTTCTCCAAGTATGCCCGTGTCAATCACTAAATGACATCACAATTCCCTTAGATAACCAGGCTTAAAATTTACCATTATTTCTCTTACAGTTATCTGCTCAGCTAAAATGAACGTGGGCTTTGCATTGGATGCATCAAGCAAGACGGGAGAGGAGAACTTTGTATCAACGTTGAAATTCGCAGTAAATGTGTCTAAGTACGTAAACGTGGATGCAGCCGACACGTGGATTTTTCTAGCATACGGGAATCAAAAACGAGTGTTTAAAACAAGATCAGACCTTCATTCCTTAATGCCTGAGTATGAACAGTTCCCCAACGCAACAGAAACTCTCGTGGGAGCTACGCTGACAAACATGGCAGAACAGTTTTTGGACGAGGGTCATCAAAGAGATGCTGTCGACATTGCGATTTTGATCGCAAGTCAAATATCCATGGACGATATAGGTCACCCTGCAGTCATGTTAAAGAAGCAAAATGCAACTGTTTTTGCACTTGGGGTTGGAAGTGATTACTCGGGGGGTCAATTGAAAGAAGTAGCTTCGGACCCTGACAGTGATTACTTCATTGCCTTGAGCAGCTGGAATGGATTGGATGAGTATTTGGCAAAGAAATTAGCAAGGAAAATCTGCCAAGGTAGATATTGAGTATTATCCCAAAAATTCTGCAAAATATACAAAAGTTTAGGGTCTTTGGGAAATAATGAGTCCTTCATGGGTTTGTTCATTTCCCAGAGAAATGTCAGATACTTTTTCACCAAAGTCCTTTCTAGGGGTTTTGTCTTTGCTTTTGTCCATATTCATATTGTAAGTTGTGATTGCCAATTCCATTTAAGAGGAGTGAGCTGACACCTACTCCAAGATAATTTGCTTTTCTTTTTTTCCATTGGAATAGTTGAGGACAGTTGTGCGAGTTCTCCCTGCCAAAACGATGGTAAATGCAATAGTTTCAAGGGTAGCTACAACTGCACATGCTCTGTGGGATTCTACGGCGACCAGTGTGAGAAAAGTGAGGAACTCTATTAATGTCGATAACAAATTAATGGATATATAAATAATAAACGAATAGATTGATGAGTAGTCTAAGATTCAATTTTACATTCGTGACATCTACGAGACTAGCTCGCATTTCCCTCACTTATAAGTATTTTTGCCACAAGCTGCGCTTCTAAACGCAACTCAGTGTCAATGTGAAATAAGTGTACCAGATATAACTAGTATCCAGGAACGTAAGGAAGATCTTCCAAGATATTTATCACACTTTAGTGTTTTACTACACCCTGGGGTTTGTCAGGTTCTTCCAAGATGGTGACATCACTTCACATACATTGGGTGAAAAGATGATGCCAAGTTTGTCACAAGTAAAGCAAGTTACTTTGCAGCTCGGTGATAAGAATAGGTTAGAATCTTCAACAGCAATGGGAATTATTCCTTTTCTTTCTCAATACTTGCGACGAATATATCAAGTATATTTTTAACCCTAAGGTCATTATAGAATTTTTTTTAGGGGAGCACTTTTAAGTGTTCATTATTGGCAAAGTGTTTCGTGAAGATTCAGGAAATGTTCTCGAAATGTCGTTTCTTCGCACAGGTCGTTCCCTGGAATATCTGTCTCTCGGATGTTTCGTAGATGATGCGAACGCACACGCTCTTATTTCGATGGAAAATGGAAATGCAACATTTTTAGATGTACCATATCGAACAAGAGACAAGGCAGTCATGAAATGCGCTTTAGAGGCTGCTAAAAACGACTACAAGGTGTTTGCTCTTCAAAATGGCGGCGAGTGCTTCTCCGGTTCCGCAGCTCTTAGCAGGTACGCTATGTATGGTGACGCACATTGTCCTGATGGAGGAAAAGGCGGTCCCCTCATCAATGAGGTTTATCTTCTTGGAGGTTGGTTAATGTTTTCTGTTAATATAAAGTTAGATGTCCTTCAAGATAACAAAAAAAAAAAAAAAAGAAACAAACAAAAAAAGTCGTCGCTCAAAGTTAGCACTACCGTATTTTCGTTTCAGCTAATCATTCTGCTTTCCCTAACTCTATTTTTATGAAATAAAAGCCAAGTGTGGAAAGATGTTACGGAATGGCCTGATTCACGTCTCGAAATCAACGGTTCGAGGTTCGTCTTACAAAGGATCCTGGAACGTTCCAGTTCTAAATGGAAGTTACTCTTGGTGTCCAACTGATGGTGACTCCCGCCCATATTTTGAAATTGATCTAGGTAAGTCTTGCATTTTAACATTGCCGTTTTTAGTGGACGTATGAAAAATTTTGATAATATTAACTCGCAATGAAAGTGTGAGTCGTAAACGAGAACTTAGAGATGCGGGAAGATTGAAAATCTTATGAGTGTCGAAGAAATTGCGGAATTGCACGGATTATACTTCTCTAAGTTCTGGGATTAGTCTGGACAAGTTGCAACACCTTTTCACCTGAACAGGCACGAAACTTTGGCCAATCACAACCTGGTCTCGCGTGTTTTCCCGAGCTTCAGGGAGGGTAATTGCTCGAACTTACGATTTCATTGGCACACTGCGACTTTCACCTTTGTTTTGATTGGCCGTTGTGATATCTTTAGCTTTGGTTTTACAACTTTCTATTGCAAATCTCTCTTAATCTTTGATAAGGTTTGTACCCCACTTTAAATGATTACACTTTTTAACCAGTTAATTTTTTTCCTGGTTATCTCTCTACAGCGAGAGAAGTATACTTGTCTAAACTCTTTGTGCAAGGAAAGCTGGGCGCAGCGAACTCAATGGAGAAAATCTGTGTGAATTATACTTCGGATAGTGAAACTCCCGATGGGGATTTGCCTTGTACTGTGAGTTAAGATTCCTTATTCCCCCTTATTTCCTGTTCCGTATCGCATCCTTTCAACTAGTAGTCAAGATTCCGTAAGTTACAAGGAAGGATAGACCTATTAAATTTTCCCTAAAGTAGCTTTTGATCGATGCATACGAAACGTCAAAAGAAGCAAGTTTTAACAATTTCCGAATCTCAGCTATTCGCAGTTATACAAGTTTAGCACGGTCATGTGACTAGATGCGTCATAAGCAGCAGTTGTTAGAAAAAAACAAGAACAAAACAAAAGACAAGGACTACAACTACAACACGGTGGACGGTCGACGCTCTAATTATTTTTTATCATTAACTATTAACAAATTGCTATTTACCAGGCATCTTTTAACATGATTCTATTCAGAATTACGTTTCATTGTTGAGACGACGCTTTCAAGTGCAAGAATATCTCCAATAAACTGTCGACCCTAGCTTACGCGTCGAGTTAAATTTCTATTAATCGACCAAACGTTTGATCGTTATTATATGATCAGCCGAATTCTACGCGCACTTTGATTAGCTCTTAAAGGCGCATGGCAATGTAAAATCTATTTGTTAAATAGTTGCAGATCAGTAGCAGCAAAAGGTTTCTTTTTCTTACCAAAAAAAAGTCAAAAGAGCGGAAAAAATGTTTTACATTTTATTATTACTAAGTGATGAAACGGTCAGAAAGGGTTTAAATCGCGGCTTGTTACAGACAAGAAGGACTTGAAGCATACAGCAATATTAGGACCAAAATGAATCATTTTTATCACTCAGTCTAGCGATAATATGATTGTATTCATGGAATAAATTTTATTTCAGCTTTTTGAAAAGTATATGTCAGGTCAAAGTGGAGACTACGGCTATGACCATGGGGTGTCACCACCTTTCCTCATCGACTCAGTGCGCCTGGCGCCTTCTTCCAATAGTCATGATGGCAGGTGCTTGAGAACAGATCTTGAAGGCTGTGTGACGACCGTGACAGAGGGAGAAGAAGTGACGAAAGGTAGCGCTAGAAGCAGCGTTGTGCTTAGTTGCTATGTGTATAAGTAATCGACCCTTACCGTTGATTTTTTTCAGTCATTGACCTTAAGCTCCGTATTCTTCTTTTCTTTTGAAAATTTGACTGAATGGGGTTCTGCTTAATTAATATGATCTTCTATTTCCCTATTTATTTAACTTTTAATTTGTTATTTGTCGAAGGTTGCTACCCAACACAGAGGAACAAATGTTGCGTTTTCCCATTCTGGTACATGGGACATCAACGATACTCGTGTATTAAGGACAATCACAACCAACCATGGTGTGCAACTACTGATAATTATGACAGAGACCAACTCTGGGACAATTGCCAAGGTACATTTATCATAACAATTGGCTCTATCTTAATTAATTTTTTATCGGATTGTTATTTTTCTATTAAAGTTCCCAAAAATATATTTGCTCGAACATCAACCTCTATGATGTCTTTATTGTTTATTTATTTTATTTATTCCATAGAGGGATATAAAACTACGTATTATGAGAGATTCTCTATCTTCCCCTAAAGCTAAGGCCGGTTTGGATGCCATTTCGTTTTCCGACAATCTCAAAAATGATATGATATGATAGACAAGAATCTAGCGCCTTTAAACGTTGTGGTGATATATGGAGCTAGCCTTAATGCATATCTACAATAGTTCATTTGTCCGGCCTGTTGCCAACATGCCTTTTAAAATTATAGGAATTTCAAGCCCCTGTGACACAACGCCATGTCACAATGGTGGTACTTGTGTTGAAAACTTGGAGGATTGGACTTATAATTGTATTTGTGATGATGGGTTGTCAGATGGCAATTGCCAGGATGGTGAGTATTAATTTTTTTGTTGGATTCATCGATAAAATATTGCTTTAATGATCAAACATGTTAACATGTATGCATGGGTAAAAACTTACATGAATTTGTTATAATGATAATAACAATAAAGTAATAAAAAATCAACTGCAATTTTTCAACTCTCCAGATGCTCACCTCATTCAAAGTTTTGTTGTCGTCGTTTTTTTAAATGCTACTGTGTAGATTATGATGAATGCTTTAACAGCCCTTGTCAGAATGAAGGAACATGTGTAAACACCTTTGGAAGTTACAGGTGTGAGTGTAATCATGGATACAGCGGCAAAAATTGTCATTTAAGTAAGTGAGAAACCTCCATGTTTTGTAACGTATTGTTGTGAGCGGACATGCTTTCACCTAAAAATATAATTTACTGTTTATTAGAAAGTTAAGTTTAAATGACAGCTAGGGGAAATCTGACAAAGGAAATACTAGTTTTCATAAAAGTGACGCACTAGGATCATATAGTTTGAGAACAATGCCAAGTTCAGTTCTTTACGATTCCTGTTCTGATATTGTGCCGCGAATCAGTCTCTATTTGTATACAGTAACCGAGTATTCTTTCAAACTAAATTCCTTTAATCTCTTACTATTTTTAGTAACTTCACAAGTTTTGTAATATTTGCATTATATCTCCAGATTGCAGTTACAACAAGATTGAATTAGTTTTCGTGGTAGATGGCTCTTCTAGTATTGAATACTATGGCGAAAATAACTTCCATATGATGAAAGATTTCATGAAGAACCTCACTCGTTCATTCAGTGTCTCAAGTTCCGGCACGCGTGTGGGAGTGGTAGTTTACTCAACAAATTCTACTGTTGTGTTCACACTGAATCAGTACGCAAGCCCTGAAAGAGTAGAGGAGGCGATTGATAATATCGTTTATCCAAGTGGTGGAACGTACAGCGGAAAGGCCTTGTACCAGACGGCAAATAAACTCTTTGATGATGCTGTAGTTCGGGACAATGTTCCAAAGGTATTAGTGCTTCTCACGGACGGGGTTTCCACCGACGACGTCATACAACCTGCGACGCTATTGAATAATAAGGATGTGATTGTTTTTGTGGTGGGAATTGGTGAGAATATTAATTATTCCCAGCTCACCCAGATTGCTTACGGTCAATCAGAACACGTCTTCAAATCGGAATTTTCGTCACTTGGATTTGTAATGAATAACACCAGAGGAGCCATATGCAGAGGTAGCTTGATTTTTTATCCGTGTTAATCTTTCTGGTTTCTTACCACTTCTTTCATACCGTTCTATCTTTCTAAACTGGTATTTTCTTACTTCCTATGAGCTGAAGCTAGTTTTTACTTGTCACAAAACTTGAAGTGGCACGAAATATCGCTATGTTGCCTTCGAAGTTTAAAACGCCTTTGAATAAAAGAAAAACAAAACAAAATTAAACGAACAAACATTTTAAAAAAACAACTCAAATCAACAACAATGACAGAAGCATGAGCTAAGTACTAACAGGAGTACTGACAGTCGCTCCATTGGTTAAAATGTTTTGTTTTTTCGTGTATTTTATTACTTTCTCTCTTTTTTTTTTATTTGCAGTTCAAATGAATGAGTACCATAGTCACTAAGATGCAAATTATTTTCTTCTTTGTAATTCTGTACTTCACCGGTTTTACTTTACAGAAGTGGACGGCTGCTCAGACAATCCGTGTCACTTCAATGGAGTTTGTACAGATGCCGGCTTGAAATGCGCGTGTGCACAGGGATTCCAGGGTGACTTGTGTACTGAAGGTTTGTAATGTGGGTGAAAACTGCTCCTAAAAGAACAAACTTACTGAATAATGATGATCACATGTGGCTCCGTAGATTTAGAAGGCCCTTCGGTTCAGTCTCATTAAACAAAACCAAGGCACTCAAAACAGCCAATTAAAGGAATATCTCACGTGGAGCTTTTGAAAACCCAAAGAAAAACACACAAGCAAGCAAAAACGTGGGAAAAAGGAAGTGTGTAAGTAGCAATTGGCTTTATTTTTTCACGGACTGTTTGACTCGGTGGTGCCAGTTTGCTAAATCACTCACGTTGCGTTTGTATGCAAAAGCAAATCAATGTATCCCTCACTTGAAAATCAAAGTAACTCAGTTGATTGTGGCCACACAAAGGTGGAAAATTCTGACCTGGACATTTTCTTTTTTTCATATTACACAGATGTAAAGGAATGCTCAGAACACGGAGTGAGCTGTGAATCTGGAAAGAAGTGCACCGAGGGTTTGGGTGGTTTTGATTGCACCTGTAGTGACTCCTCGAACTATGGCGACAATTGTGATAAAGGTCAGCATAAGAATCCGTAGAGAATCGAGATATGAGCCTGCATCTCCCATGCAGGTCACTTCCGCGATGTTATTTCGTTGGCTTGTTATGGATACTCGGGCATTTCTGTTCCACGTCACTTAACTATTTTCGTTTGTTACAGATTGCTCCAAGGCGTTCACTATTCTGTTCTTGCTGGATAGCTCCTATAACGTGGGAGAGGACAATATAACACGTCAAGTGGAGTTTATTATCACGACGGCATCAACGCTCAGTCACAGTAGCATCGGTGTTATAGCATATGCCACAGACACCCAATATTTAATCAGCCCAGGAAACTCATCCAGTTTCTCCGAGTTCGCAAATATTTTACGAAACGCTAATTATTCCATGGGTAAATACAAAAACCTGGGAAAAGCATTAACGAGGGCACTAGAGGAAACAAAGTTGTTTGATGAAACTACGGCGTCAGTTGTTGTCGCAATGGTCGCTGGGAAGGCCGAGGATGATTATGCAGTACCTGCTTCCCTGCTTCGTCAAAGAGGTGTCACCATCATCGGTTTGCCGTTGGGTTCACATTACAGCATGTCCCAACTAAACATGTTGGTTACCAAGCCGAGTGAGGAACACTTGTTGAAGGCAGAATTTGCTGATCTGACGCATTTTATCAGCACTACAAGAAACAAAATTTGCAGAGGTTTGTAATTTTAAGAAAGAAGCGAATAAACTTGCCGCAGGTATTTCGAAAGAACGAACTAAGGCAGAAAAGGAAGGTTGAATATAAGGGAACGCGGGCCATCTTCTAAACAGTATATGAACTAATTTTTTGTGTTCCTAACGGCAATGTCTCTGTCTATCGTAGCTTCAAATCCATGTTCCAGTTCTGACTGCTCATCTGCTGAGATTTGCGTGAACAACTATGGCGAAACTGGAGGATTTAGTTGCGTAACAGGTTAGATTCGTCATGGAAGCTAAAAAGTAGCCGGGTGTGAGTGGTAGCAGGGAATTTAATTGTGTAGTGCTGGCGTAACATGTTAGTCTAATTTAGATAAATGAGACACCTGATACCAGAATTGTTGTTTTGTCATGTTCATAGATTCATGCTCTCTCAACCCGTGCCAAAATGGCGGAAACTGCTCCTCCGATTCTTCTGGAAGCTACACTTGCGCATGTCCGCATGGAATTGGAGGGCAAAACTGCACAGAAGGTAAGTCTAGAGAAACCATCACTAAGAACTTTTCCAGGATGTAAGTGGCCTTTTTGCAGAAGAAGGCGTTGGATTCTAGGTCGAACGGTCAGCGATAAAACCTCAGCCGGGGTCATTGTGTCACTTTTACTCTCATCTTGCCTGTTTCGTTTACGGATTATGAACTGTCGAGAAACTTGGCTGAATTTTTTCCCATCCTTTTAGAGCATAGTTTCTTGGAGACTTCCCACCATCTGGCTCAGTATTGGGCTATCGTCTTACCTGCCTCCAGGTTCAGTCTCCTTTGCTCGCTTGGTCGTCCATGCACCTTCTCTACCTGTTCAGGGAATGACTTTGACTCATCTTATCTCGTGGGTTCAATCATAGAGCACGTTAGGTAGCAGTTATGTTCTATTTTCTAAACATGTATGCCCAATTGAACTTTACCAACGCCTAAAAAATCGCCGAGCCTTACAAAATATTCGGAGGCAACATGCAAGGGCTACACTAATATCCTATCCAGATGGAGTAATGATATCATTATTCGCTTCATGCTAGACAATAAGCCCCAGATGTTATTCAAGTCGATCCCATTTGTGCAATTTGCGTTTTATGAGTTCTTTTCTTCTTCTTCTTCTTCTTCTTCTTCTTCTTCTTCTTCTTCTTCTCCGCTGCTTATTAAAATTTGCTTTTTATATCATACATAGATATTATCAATGAGTGTGATTCAGCGCCATGCATACATGGAGGAACGTGTATTAATCACCTGGGACATTTTGAATGCGAATGCGGAAAAGACTATGCTGGACCACAGTGTGAATTAGGTAAGTTGTAGCTGTGATTGAAATTGGAATAAGAAAAAACATGAATGGTTATGAAAATAGTACAAAATCAATAAAATCGTGTTGGTAAATGGGAATTTATTGTTAATGTTTCCTTTTCCACTGATAATGTTATAGTGAGTGTGAAGATTCTCTTCCAGAGGGATGGTGTTAATAATGAAATTCACTATTTGTTGACAGCTTGCGTCAATCAAAAGTTCAACTTGATATTTGTCATGGACGGATCAGGTAGCATAGAAAGTCAGGGTAAAGGCAACTTCCAGCGGTCCAAAGACTTCGTGATTGATATGGTGCAGTCGTTCAACATTGGCAAAGACGACACGCATGTGGCTGTTGTTCTTTACTCAGAAAAAGCGCAAGTGGTGCTAAAATTAGGTAAATATGTCGACGAAGTCGAGAAAATCGTAGATAAAATTGAAGAAATGTCTTACCCTGGAGGGAAAACCAACACCGGATATGCATTGGATAAAGTTCGCAAAGAAGTCTTCGAAGACATCAAAGGGTCACGCAAAACTGTGCCGAATGTTGTGATGGTGTTGACGGATGGTTTGTCGCATGATGACGTTGAAGAACCTGCAGAAGAACTTCGTGATGAGGGTGCAACTATTATTAGTCTTGGTGTGGGCTGTTGTTATGACAATGAGGAGCTGAGAGAGATGGCCTCTGATCCTGTTGATGAGCACGTGTTTGCAGTCAGTTTTTCGGCCTTAAGCGAGATTAAAGGTCTAGTGCGGGAACAGATCTGTCACGGTAAGACTTCATAACAGAAAAAAGTGACTGGTTTTATCACAGAACTTGTAGAGCAAGTGAAATAAGAAGCAGAATCTTAAGGACCATGTTCTTTTTTTGCCTCTCCATAACAGAAACCAAACCCCGTATGACAGAAATAGCCGTTTCTCAACGAAGAGATCTCCGGCCTGTGGGTGCAAACCCATTGTTTGTAATCTGAACCAATTTTTTCATCCCAAGCACAGTAATTCTTTCCTATTTTCTTTTTTTCATGAAAAGAAATTCCACCAATGGAAAAAATTCTCGAGCGAAGGATAAGCTCCATCAGTGGAGGTTTCCATTTTGAAATCCGTGTCTATCTTCTCCTTCTTTTTCCCTCGTCGTCATTCACTTTTATTCATGCGATTTTGTTGTTTTTCCACCTTAACAAGCTAATAGTTTATACCTTCCCTCACGCCCAAGGTAATTGTTTAAGTTTGCCTTTTGCAATCCTCGTCGATCTTCTCCATTCTCTGCTGTCGTTGTTCCTTTTTAGCTTATCTCTTCGATTTTCCACATTTTTCTTGTCACATAGGAAGTTTGACTTGTTGTACGGAGGACGAAATGAACGTTAATGAGTTCCTCTAATGTCTTGTATTTTTGATGTGTTGTCTAGCCATCGACTATTGCCACAGTGATCCCTGTCTCAATGGTGGAACCTGCATCAGTCAGCTAACGGACTATCATTGTAAATGCCCATCTGGTTGGCAAGGAAAGGATTGTGCAACTGGTAACTGCTTGTCATTATCAGAAATACAAAAAAGTTTCTTTTGGAAAATGTGAAAAGCTTTTTAGCTTCTGACAAAACTGCCCGGCATTCTAATGGCTGTTACTCGACGAAAAAAAAAAGGGTTTGGTTGGATATATTCTCACTATTCAAACGGGGAAAGGGGCTGAATAAAGATCGCCTGGTCACCAAGGAGGTAGGGGAGGTTCTCCAAAGAAAATTATTTCGTTATTAACAACACTTGTAGTTTGCTTCTCCTACGAAAGCGCTAGCTATTAAAATGAAGATAAACAGAGTTCTCAAAATACTAAATATGAAGTACCAATGGTCTTTATATTTTCAGACGTAGATGAATGTGACACTGGTATCACTCATTGCTCAGAAAATCAAGTGTGCCAGAACTTTCCTGGAGGATCTGCATGCGTGTGTTCAAACAACCGATTTGGAGCAAATTGTACCACGCGTAAGTCATACAGGCCGAGTGGGATTAACAAAACAAATAAATAATTAAATTATTGGTGCTTAGAGAGGAATTTCTTCTAGAATTCCTTACACCTGCTTAATATGACCTTTTAATTATTTATAATGAATATGACTGACTTCCCAGTTCCCATTTCCCTTCATAAACTGCGATAAATTTTAGAAAATAACACATTTTCGCCTTTTTTTTTCATTTTGGAGCATGCTAGGAGTTTGGGAGAAAATGGCTTCAAATCTGATTCTAAGCCGGCTGGTATTTTCCAAATAATTGGTTTGCCAACAGGATTAGGGGCATCAGAAGGCCATAGTGTTAATTCATCGATATCTTTTCTTCTGAAAATATACCTGCATTTTTCCTCTATTTGTTACTGCCGTCTTAGTGCGTATTCTTTGGTTAACATATTAAACTTCTGTCACTGAAAGGAATAAAGGACTTATCTACTTTTTTAATTCCTTCCTTTCTTTTTTCAACTTAGAATGCAAATACACTCAATTTGACGTAGCCTTCCTCCTGGACACTTCGGGTAGCATTAACAACGCCGGCGAGCACAATTATCAGATCATGAAAGACTTTATTAAAGGCATCGTTAAATCGTTTGTCATTGGCCCAGATGACACAACTGTCGCGGTAGCAACATTTTCGAGCGCTTCGCGTTTCCTTGTGCAATTTGATTTCACAAAATATTCCACAAAAGAGGCAATCGTAGATGCTGTGCAAAATATTCCATACTATGGCGGATATACTTACACTGGCATTGCTTTGTATCGTGTACGAACTCGTCTCTTCCCGCTAGCACGAGCTGGAGTCCCGCATATCCTTATTGTTCTCACGGATGGTCGAGCAAATGATGACGTGGACGATCACGCCGAGGCCCTTCGTGATACAGGCGTCCACATTATTTCTGTTGGTGTCGGCAACGCGGATCATCGGGAGCTCGAAGAGATTGCCAGCAAGCCCGCCGATGAGAATGTGTTTATGGCAAGTTTTGACTCAGTTGTAAGTCTTGCCAGCTCTATTCTGGAGGACGTCTGCAAAGGTGAGCGAAAGCAGAAACAATTCTTTAGTTTTTGTGAACATTTCTGCTAGCGAGAGGTTAGCGCGTTTGGACTTCGTGCGAGTTTGGCATAGTACATGGTTAAATAGAAGGGTTCTTGAAATATCGTTTCCCATAAACCGTCTCAGCAAGTGTTCCGTAGCTGTAATTAGTTTTCCAGTGTAGTTTACGCAAATATTGTGGTTCACAAACTCGATCCTTTTTGTCTCTTTCTACAGTTGTTGATCATTGCATTGGAAGTCCTTGCAGAAATAAAGGTACTTGCAATAACCTGCTGAACGAGTACAACTGCACTTGCCCTGGTGGTTTCAAAGGCAGAAGCTGTGAAGGTTTGTTTTTAATTGTTTTTGATATCGACCAATGTGAATGGGTTAAAGTAGTAAGTTGACATCCTTTCTTGATTTTAGGTGGTGTTTCATACAACATTGTAGCGTTTTCCTACGACCAAAGTTGTCATGATCATGTTTTTACCAAACAACAGTCATTTATTTGCTTACTGTTACGGGTGATGTTATAACTTTCTCTACTTTCAGAGGTTGACCACTGTTATGAAAGTCCTTGCAAAAATAATGGAACTTGTTACAACTTTGAAGCTAATTACACATGTGGATGCCCACCAGAGTTTAAAGGGAAAAACTGTGAAGGTCTGTTAGTATCAATGATTTTTTCAGATTAGTCTTGCTCCAACAGTTCTTCTTCATACTATGTTGCTAGTTAAAAAAGAATCACCAAGTCAAGTTTTGATACCTTTCTTATAATTATAAAAATTAATTACTGGTAGATTTGCCCTTCTTTACTTACGGATCACCTGGGAGACACCATTTAACAGCAGCTTTGAAGGTTCATTCTAGAAACAGTGTTACAATTAGTAGAGAAAGATGTTTTTCGTCTTGTCAGGAGCGTGGGACATAGAAAAAAAATCTGAGTCCCCAAGAGGAATCGAACCTCAGACCTTGGGATTACACGCTCCGATCCTCTACCACTATTATTATAATTTAACATATACTAATTCTTCTTTTCTTGGCAGATCGAAAACATTGTTACGATTCTCCTTGTTTAAACGATGGAACTTGCCACGACCTTGGGGACAGTTATACTTGTGACTGTCCGAGGGGATTTGAAGGCGTTGATTGCGAAGGTAAATTGAATTTTAACTCCTTTCCTCTCTTCCATTTTACAATGTGTACCAGGTCGAGTACAAAATTCTGTAGAATGATGAAACCACGATTGTACTAACTGAATCGTTTCTCCAAAAATTTGTCTTTGTCGGCTTTGAAAGAGAAGAAATTAACAATAAGGACGTTATTTTATTTCTTTAGTGGTTGACCATTGTAGTGAAAGTCCTTGCCAAAACAATGGGACCTGTCTTAATCTTGCCAACAACCACACTTGTGACTGTGTTATGGGATTTACAGGGAAGTACTGCGAAGGTTTGTATGGTACTTTGATTGATCAACTAAACGAAAAGAGCGAGGCATTACTCTATGGTCATTACGATCATCAGGCAAGAATAATCATATTCCTTTTATTCTATTTATCTATTTGAAGCCGTGGATCATTGTCGTTACAGTCCCTGCTTGAATAACGGAACCTGCCAAAATTTTCCGGACAACTACACCTGTGATTGTACATCAGGGTTTTCAGGACCAAGCTGTGAAAGTGAGTATCACATAGGGTAGACATGATGTGAAAGAGGCCTCCTACTTTCTCTCCTCCTCCCTTTAATTCCTCTCTTGTACTCTTCTTCGAGAAAAAGCTGGTTTTCACGAAAACTTGTCAGAGTAAATCCTGCTTACATTAGTATAGCGTGGAAATTTTCGATACTTTCCAGTCTTTTTCGTCAATCGCTTATGTCATTGGGCTAATTTTTCGTTATCTCTCTCTTGTATTTGCAGCCAAAGATCACTGCTTCGACTACCCATGTCAAAATAATGGAACATGTCACAGTAATTCTGAAAACTACACGTGTTCATGTCTTCCAAGTTACACCGGACAGAACTGTGAAGGTTTGTATCATACAAAACTTACTTTGCGCCAAATGCACAATCTCATAACTTGTGCTCTGTCCAAAAACCCTTAGCTTAAAAAATGGGATCAAGTTCAAAACCTTGGTTACAAAAAATGAGTTTATATGTTTATGAGTATTACTAATCAGAAACATGTATTGTGTTTTATTTGTAGCTATAGATCATTGTCACTACAGTCCCTGCTTTAATAATGGAACTTGCCAAAATTTTCCAGACAAGTACACCTGCGATTGTATGGCAGGGTTTACAGGACGAAGCTGTGAGAGTGAGTATCACCAGGATAGACATGATGTGAAAGAGGCCTTCTAATTTCTTTCATATTAAATTTGATTTCTATTTTATCTTCTTTCTTACTCTTTGGCAAAGAACTTTTGGAGATAAATTTCAAGAAAACTTGTCAGTGTAAATCATGCTTACATGACTATAGCGTGGAAATTTCAGATACTTTCCTGTCTTTTTTGTCAATCGATAGCGTCATTGTTCTTATTCTCTGTTAACTCTGTCTTGTATTTGCAGCCAAAGATCACTGCTTTTACAACCCATGTCAAAATAATGGAACATGTGATAGTAATTCCGAAAACTACACTTGTTCGTGTCCTCCAAATTACACTGGAAAAAGCTGTGAAGGTTTGTTGTTTAGGGAGTTTTTTGAAAAAACCAATTTTACAAAACCTTTCCTATGTCAAATAATCAATCTCACCGCTTTTACTTTGTATTTTCAAGTATTGGATTGAAGGATCCACCATTCCCGTGTTCTCAAAACCCTAAATTAAGATGAACTTCCGAACCTTTTTTTAAACTGTTTTGAAAAAAATATATTTCTTTTTATCAATAGCCTTTGATCATTGTCACTACAGTCCCTGCTTGAACAATGGAACCTGCTATAATTTGCCGATCAACTTCACCTGTGATTGTATGCCAGGGTTTTCAGGACCAAGCTGCGAGAGTGAGTATCAAAGA